CCCTCCCCCGTTATGTGTTGTCTGAATCGGAACCTGTTACTACTCCCTTCAGCTTTCTTTCCTGAGATCGGCCAACTATTTTCTCATAAATTGGAAACTGAGACGGTATTCTATACTGACAGGACGTTTGGGGGAACTTCCTCACTGTTCAAAGGCCCTACTTGAACTTTCATAGGCCTTTGTAATACAAAAGATGGGTTCGCTAAAGAACTAGCAGAACTGGGCTGTAAAACAAAGGGCATCTGCATAAAATCGACGGTTTTACACGACCTATCACCCAACATTCTTTATATGTAATCGAGCATTCTACAGCATTCTACCCGAGCCTCCTCTAGATAGGGTCGACTGACCCGTAGGCAAAAGGTAACCAACCGTGCAGGAGGAGAATCCGAACTGAGAATTTTCACTGCAACCGCTTATATCCCTGGAAAAGGCATCCACGCCTTCAAATATCTGACCGATTTCCACTTGAAACAGCCAACACCACATCTCTCCGTAGTCGATTGCTGGTGTCATACTCATCGAACCAGAACGGAACCATCAAGGACGAATCAAGCACTGACTTGGGCACCATAGGGCTCCTGCAGAAGATATCCAGGTCGAATAATTCATCCACACCCCCTTACGTCTCCGAATGGAAGTCAAGTACACAGGCTGGTCCCAGACGGAAGTTAGATCAACGCCAGAATTTTCTTTCTTCATGTAATACAATCTATCACTTTAGTGTAAAGTAAAGCTATGTCTACCAATCATCAATTTCAGGATGGGCTCTGACCTATTTTAAAAGAAATCACCATATCGTCAGGCAACCTGGGCGCCGCTATCAAAGTTCAAAATCAAATGTCGCGGAAAGTGGCTGTCTGTCTGATACGCTCACATGGTATTCTGCTGCAGTTCAGGAAGAATCTTTGTGAAGTCTAGAGCAAAATCTCCTCCAAGAATGGATACTCCAAAGTCGAGTAAATCATCATTAACTAGGGGATTGGGGTTCTTCAGAACAAGGTAGTGGTTGATGGCCCATGATGGGCTGTCACACTTCATTCTCAAAATGTAACAAAGCCGGCCGAAACCGTCTTTGCGAACAAAATTCCCAGCTGAACCTAATACGAAAGATGCTTATGAGGTCACCGCTGTGCCATCGATCCTGAAATATCGACGGTACTGGATCGGATACGACATCGGATGACCGTCAGATCAGAGCGCGGAGTTGCCTTCAGACGATCCCCACTCAGTTGATTGATCTTCTTCAGAAAATTTTGTCCATAGTCCTAAGGAGTACCGACAAGATGAGCCACGGCATTTCCCCGAAAGATATTTGACAAAAATTCGTTCAGCTAACTGAGGAGAATTGGCCCGCGCGACAACTTAGGAGTTTATCCTGAAGTATTCCTACATGGCGTGAAGACGTCGATGGCAAGTGCTAGTCTATTGTTCTACTGAACAACGAAAGCACAGTAGATTCAGGCCGACATCACTTTTGGGAGGATGCCATAGTGGCAAAAGTAGCCATAACTCAGAAATAAACTCGCTGAAAAAACCGTTCTTACATCGAGCTTCGTCGTTGTGATGGCTGGCGTCGTTTCCGTAAACGGTTCTACCATAGCCGTACTGATCGCAAAACTATCGGAGCTGAAAAAATGATTTTGAAGACACAAGATACAATCTGGTTGGTACTGAAGATACTGGTTAAATACTTAGAGTTTTGGTGATTTAAATTGCGACGTTGTAAAGGGTCAAAATAGTTTTGAGAAAGGCAGAGGTGTAGTGGCAAGTTATGCACTATCACGCGTGTATGGTCACGGGTTCGAATACCGGAACGATATCCACCTAGGCCAACCAAGTCTTCCATCCTCCAGGGTCAATTGATTGGTACCAGACAAGTCTGAAGGGTAAAAACACGACTTGTACACCCTAACCATCCACATACGCACTCAGTTTCATTCTGAAGTCGAATGCAGTGGTGCATCTTGCAGACGGCATTCATTAACGCCCAATATCTAGACCGAGTTTTTTTGTGTGAGCTCTATATCGACTTCCCGCAAGTCGCTATTTCTTCCCAGTGCCTCACCTCCAGGACAAGAACTATCGGAGAGTTGAGGATTCCCACCCACTATCGCGAAGATGCATGTGCCGTCAAAAAAGGTTTCTAGCGACCCATCACTGCTGTTGCCTTTCATGGGTTCATTCTCTTGCGTTCGTTTACGTTATCTTGACGGAACTAGACTAACTATTTGACTACTGAAAATTGGCATACTCCTCCTCTTTGCTTGAGAGGCTTCCCTCCCCTCCCCCCTCAAGCCTTCTACTCCTGGCACTTCAAGGGTCAAATGTTGAAGAGCTAGGGAATGGTCCCAGTGTGAAAGAAATTCAACCAACCCTTCATTGATTTCTTCAGTTTGGCCAAGAAAATCAGTCGGACCGACGACGTCGCGAGTTTCGACGGATGCTGAAGGCGTGTCGAATACGTCGGATACGGTTTCATCATGACCATAGACGACTGAAAAGACCGAATGATCATATTTTCGCGGGTAAATGCTTGTAAATATCATTGGCTCTCTACATACCTAGAAACCGAACCTAAAGACTCACCTAAGAAATGAACGACAAACGGGAGTAATATATTGCGTAGTATCCTCATTGCCTTCTCCACTAGACCACTGAAAAGGTTCTGAGTGAGTGCTACCTATGGAAATCACACAGATAGTTCATGAGCGGTACGAAATCGACGATCTTTACAACATAACGGCTGGATTACGGTACGAGAATGACGGGTGAGAAGAAGACGAAACACATCTTGAAGTAAAACGAACACGGGGAGCCGCCCTGGCCTGTTCGAGACCTTCCCATACTGGTATCTTGGAAAACGTGAAAGAAATATGGTATATTGCCGGCAATTCTCCTTTTTTAAGTGCTTTGATTTCACGGCCACACCCAACAATAAAAACACCTTAGGTGCGAACTATTACTTAACGATGCAATCTTTCGGGGAGAGACTTTTTCCATGCACTTTTACCCACCTCTTAGAACCAACGCTGGAGAGCGAGGCTCAGGAACAAAATCAAGCTCGGGCTGAGCGTAACGGGGGAACTCGGAAAGAGCCCCTAGCGAGCTTAGATGGTCTAAAATTCAGCGTCGGCAATTGGACCAATCGATAATTCATGGACTGGGTAGGCCCGGGCGACAGAAGCTTGGGTTTGTTTCAAGCTCGGTTTCGATTTCCCAGTTGGGACGTCACATGCAAGAGCTGTATTGAGCAAAAGTTGAAGGCAAAAATCAGAGCAGGTGATGGGAGTGCTAGCACCAACGTCCGCGACTACATACCTAGGTGGAGTCGGGAAAGTATGATCCTAAATTGACTTTTCCTTTATCCCCCTACCCAAATCACAATGGCCTCTTAAGCAGAATCATCAAAGCTCACTAGTGGTGCTTAATCGAGATTCGGCAAGAGCAAGTTCGTCAATTTTTTTTAGATAGTATTTACGTACCCTTTTTGAAATAGTGTACCTCCCATTTGAGGAGGTAGGTAGACGGGAAAACTGCATTTTCAAGGGCAGCACATTAACTAAGGCCCCTCAAGCTTTCGCCAGGCAAACACCACAATCCAATATCCACAACTTCTATTTCCGCGCCGCGTCGCCCCCGCGACGCGCTCTAAATCTGCTGGGTCAGCGCCTGGCGCTTAGTATGAACCCTTTTGTTACTCGACGGAATTCATTCGCTTTCAGATGAAAGCAATTTCCTCAAAAAAGGCAGAGAAAAAGCAGGGAACGACACGAAAGTACTAATATCCAAAAGTTACGGCTTTTCCGTGTGCTCCCGAATCCTTTGACAAATGCATTATACAGGAAAGTCTGCTCTGACCTCGATAAGCATGTCAAAAAATTTGTGGAAAATCGTGACAAGCGGCTGTCGGCTAAGGCTAATTCTATGCATCTTTTCAGCCTAGTCAGGCAAAGAGTTAAAACCTCTCTAAAGCTACCCGCACTCTCGGATTGCTTCGGCTCTCTCTTTGTTACAGATGAGGAGAAAGCTGAAGCTTTAGGTACCTACTTTGCTAGTGTTTTTTCCACAGATAACTCTGAGGATGAAGTTAGGACTAGCAATCAGTTCGGGATCAATCATTCCTTGTCTTGGATTTCCTTTCATCCTCAAGAGGTTTTCAGTGTACTCACTAAGCTCAAGCCATCCATGGTTGAACCGTATGATGGTATCCCCCAGATAATTTTTCGTAAGTGTGCTCGTTCATTATGCAAACCATTAGCACACATTTTCAACATTTCTTTGCTTCTCGGAGAAGTACCTGATATCTGGAAAGAATCCATAGTTT